CAAGAGCAAGAGAGAAAATTGGGGGGAGTCATCAAAGGCATGTAAGTTTCTAAGTTGTATTCTGAATTTCCCTTTAGAAGGTGTGTGATGAAGATAATGTGTACGTGTACCTATACAACATTAATAGCAAAAAACAAACATGAAATGAAGGTAGCCGTTACTATCTAGAAATGCCCTTTTAGGTGGACTTTAGAAACTATATATATATACACACAGTGTTATTCAAAACTCTTTTAAAACTTCATATTAATCTTTGCAATGTAGCACAAAATACAGTGGCAATCACAATTATTACATAAGTTCACATTCATATTATGGGAGCAAAGTGGAGAAGCCTTTCCAAAATTATCCTTAACTACACAATATTGAAATATGAGACAAATTAAAAAAACAGAAAATTAAGATTTTTTTCTCCTGTACAATATTTGATTCGATTAACTGTCTTCCCATGAAAGCATTATTAGGGTGGCTGAAAATACTTTCTTAGCATAAAACAAACATAAAACTAGCAAATAACAGAACTTAAAAAAAGTATAAGCACTGTTTTCTAAGCCTAACTCTGAGACACTGACTTTTAGCCATTATCTATGAAAATAAAGGCTTAATTTCAATTTCATAGCCCTCCTGTTTGGAAACAATGCAATTTCTCTGTTGAAAGTTTATACTGTTTTTCCTCTTCCAATCTGAATATATTTAAGCTCCCGCAGAAACAAGTTTAAGTTTCCTGATCTCTAAATGCATTAAGACACACACTATTAGATCATTAGATCTACTAGCCTCTAACATGTTTAGAGACCAGGGCTCATGGCAGCCATGCAGTTGGTTCCTGAAATTACTTTTGAATTCGTTATTACATTCAAATAAAGTAACTTTTTTTTCCTTTAGAGGTTTTAGAAAACAAATTGCAATTTTGCAGAATGGGTCACAAAGAGTTCTGCTAAGCAAAATTTAAATAAAAATTACCTAACATTCAGCAATGGAAATTAAGGTTTTAAGATTTTTAACTTAAAGTTAAAAGCAAGATTGGATATTTTATATTAAGATTACTCTAATACATCCTTGAACAGTCAGTCACTTGTTCTTTGACTTATTCAAAAAATTATCTATTTTGTTAATATGACCATAAATTCAACTATTATTTCCTGTATACACCTACTTTTTATAAATTCACTATTAATGATAAGGTGAAGTCTAAAGATAAAAGTTGTAATTAAGTATTTTACTAAAATATTTTATTCTTCAAACTATTCACCTGAATAGTAGTTCCCCTTATCTGTGGTTTCATTTTCTGCTGTTTTATTTACCCTCAGTCCACCACAGTCTGAAAATATTAAATGGAAAATTCCAGATATTTTGAGAGAGAGGGAGACCACATTACATAACTTTTATTACAGTATATTATAATAATTGTTCAATTTTACTATTAGTTATTGTTGTTAATCTCTTACTGTGCCTAATTTATAAAATAACTTTATCATAAGCAGGGATGTATAGGTAAAAACATAGTATATATAGGGTTCAATACTATATGGGGTTTCAGGCATCCACTGGGTGTCTTGGAATTTATCCCCCACGGATGAAGGAAGACTACTATATTTATTCTGTTTTCTTTCTCTAACACATTGATTTATACACCTGAGAAGGAGTTAAGTTAAATATCCATGAGTACAGCATAGTACATTAAGCTACAGAAATAGTTTAATTGACATGTCAAATGAAAAATTAAATATTTCACTATCATCATGCATGGATCAACACTTAACCAGTTCATACGTTACAGATGACAATAAATTATATGTTGGTAAAATGTTTAAGAAGTAAAATATATGCACGAAATCAAAGTGTTCAGAAGTGCAGTGCTGAGATTGAATTCAAGGCTGATGGTTTCTGGGACATAAAAAGTATGCAACAAATAATGGTTGAATCAATTAATCAATGGCTCTTAAATCTACTGTGTAAACTCTTACGGAAGTCATTGTGGCCACCGGGAAAAGAAAGTTTGTTTGTACATCCTAAATGTATTTTAGTCTCTCAAGTGTTACTTCCAAGAAGGGAGCCAAATTCTGCAAATATATCTGGTAACTTCTCATAATGACAAACTTGAGCTGAACTCAAAAACAACCAGTCCTAAGTATAAATATAAACTGAAATAAAAATAAATGAATTTGCTGATTGATCTTTTCTCTAGATGACTCAGCTTTAACCATAACAAAATCTCACCTAATAGTCTCAAAAATTAAAGTTTATGATTAAACTACAACTATGATTAAAATGAAAAAGCAGTAATTTTTATAAATTAAATACAGATATATCACTACTATATGTGTGTTCTAGATATAAATATTACTATGTTACCGCTATAATCTCAAGTAAATCAACTGAGAAACCCTGTGACCTTTATGGCTAAAAACATATTAACATAATTTCATCTCTTTAATGATCACATTAAAAGTTGTAATTATATAAAGGAAAGTTTCTTTACTTTGCAAGTGGAAAAACTGAAATCATAGTCAGGGAAAACATGTTGCCAAGGGTGATTCACAAAATCAACCTCAGAGAGCAAGCTGATAATTCACAATCTCAAACTCACCCATCCAAAGGAAATACAAACCATGTTAGTGCTTTTTTACCATTCAATGCCCAAACACACAATAGTAGACCTATGTCCCTGGAAAAAAAAAAAAAGGTAGATATATGACACATGAACAATTTTAATGCATAAAAGTAGGATCTGAATTGCAGATAAAGCTCTGAGTTCCTGGCTAGTCTGGAACTTAGAAAGCAGCAGGGCTTTTAGTATTGGGCAAATATGTGTGAAATACTGAGATCACTCAAGTTCTACTTCTTCAAGTGAAAGAGCAAGATCTGTTTATTGGGATCACTTTTGACAAATACAAGGAAGACATGCTGGAAACGTTTTTCGCTTTAATTCCATGACCCAAATCCGTACCTTTTGAGAAATACCTAATTGAATTATTCAATTTAGGTGGAAAACCACCTGCTCAAAGCCCAAGTCTTTAGTTCTTACCCGCTATGAAAACAAAGAAGGTCAAGACCAAGGGACTGAAGCTGCAGCAAGCCTAGTCCACCTTGAGGAGGCAAATAGCAAAGTGTGAACATATGCAAAATATGATTAGCACGAGCAGCATCGGGCTATTCATTCCACTGCAACACAAATAAGGATCAGACTACTCTTGGAGCACTTCTTTCAATCTCCTGTCATATCCAACTACACTCTATGCTTAGTTTATTTTTTTGCCAAGAAGACTGATCTTAGTCAATCACATAGGAATTTTCACTGCAAAAGAAACCCCTTGTTTAAACCCAAGAACAACCAACAGTTCCTTTCCAATTATCCCCCTGCAACTCCTTCATTCTCTTTCATGCCTGGCTACTGTGCTCAGTCCAGTATGGCATCTGGCCAGGTTCTTCTCTTCTTTCCTTGTCAGTCATAAAAACTTGGAAAACACTCCTGGACAGCTCAAGGAGACCTTTTAATTATGCAATAAGGCAGTACCTTAGCCTGTTGGCTGTTTCCAGCAAGGCTTGTAGTCGCCAGAGACATCACTCTCCCAATTGGTGGGTTTTCTAGCAAGGCTACTTGTTTATGTGGGGGAAGGAGGGTAAGACTGGTAGAGAAATGAGGTGATCTGCAAAGCTGAAAATTTTTCAACTCTGACCTCCCAATATTCACTCTATCTCATTACCGCGCCTTTAGCACCTAATCACTCATCTGATAACACAGACACAAAAATATTAGCATGGCGGTCTCCTACTAGTCCTAGAAATTATCAAATGGTATCAAAACTACAATATTCTCCAAAAACTGTTATCTTCAAGTGTTGGTTAAACATATTTTAAAAAACAGGTCCCAAAATAAATTTATTAAATCCTTCCTAATTGACTGCATTATACTTTGTCAAGCTAGCAAACTGAAACAGTGCGTGTAAATGTCTGACGCAAGTGAAAGTAAGGACAGTTTAGTTGGGAAAAACTGCCAGGACCCAGGAAGGGGTACCTTGACTGCCAGCCTGCATTTACTCGTGGTTTGTCCAATGTACTAAGTGGACTCGCTAAGCGCAACACCAGCTACATCTTCTTTACTCTGCCCTGGTGCCCTAGTTCAAGCTGCCGCATCCAGCTTCCTGTTCAAGTCCCATTCAACATTGTAAACACATTCCAAGAAAACCAGCCTTCCCCGAGTTCCCTCCCGCACACAGGGAAGTCAGCGCAACAGCCAAGGAACCACAGGGAAGAACCGATCGCGCTGGGTTCTGATCCATGTAGTTAGTCAATCCACAGGAAGAAGGACCTAGGCAAGAGAGCTTGGCTACCGGACCAAGAGCCCAGGGTCTCATCATCCTGCCGCGCTGTGCGCCCCTCTAATGCAGCGCGCGCCAGGAGTTTCTCGACCCACCCAGCCAAAGGGAACCACGCGGGCGCCGCCCGAGAGTTGGGGCCCTCCCAGCCCAGGGCTTTAAAGAATCCTCGACCGCGCCTGCGAGCTTCGCTTCTCCCCGCCCCCATGCCCACACTCTCTCCCGGAGCCAACAAAAGGGAGGTTACGCTAGAAGTTTCGCCCCTGGGTCGCCTTGCTGTTGACCCAGAGATGACTTGCCTGCTCAGTCCAGCCGATCCACGCGCCCTCAGCCTTACTGATCCACGGGCGCCCTCCCGCTCCGCTCCGGCTCCTGCCCCGCGGGACCAAAGTTACCACAAAGGACTACAGGAGGCTCCAGGAGTCCGGAGCCAGCTGTGTCCCCGACCTCGTGAGGCGCCCCTGTCGTCCCTGAAACACTGCCGTAGTAGTCGTCAACAGGTCTTAGCCTCTTTCGTGCCGGACGACATCCGGAGCCTTTCACTGTCCTAATTTTTGCAACCTGCCCGGCGGCCGCCCCGGTGCCGCGCAGCCCCTCTCCCTCCCTCCCCAGCACCCGCGGCGGTGCTAACCACCGCCTGCCGCCTCTCAAAATGTCACTTTAAAAGAGACTGCACTCTACCTGGCGGAAAGCTGGGCTGGTAGCCAAGGAAGACCCCAGACAGATCGCAGTCTCTCGGTACCTTACTGACTGATGCAGTCGGGTCAGGCTTGGGGCAGGGGCGTGGAGAACTGCGGTGTCCTCAGAGCCGGGAGATCTCCTCTCCAGCACAGCCGCGGCGACGTTTCCGTGGCGGATGGGGAAAGTTTCTGTACGTCAATGTGGTGCTGGACTTGGGACCCTCTGACTCCGGACCCCTCTCTCTTCGCCCTCGTTTCTCTCTTCTTCCTCTTCCTAATCGGCTGGAGCCAAAACTGGCGCTGGTGGCGGCTAGGGCTGGAGGCTCGGGACTCCGGATCGCTCCCCGCTGGGAAAGCGGGGCTCCCCCTCTCGGCCAGAAGGCAACTCTCCCAGACTCCGGCTGGCGCACTTCTGGCGGTCTCCTAGGACACTTCCACACCGGACGCCAGTGTTCAAGCTCGCTGACTTTCTTCAATCTCTGATAGTCGTTTACTATGGCCTGGTATCTGGCGCTAGCACGCAAGACCCAAGGGGGCGGGTTAGGGTGGGGGTGGGGAGGAGTGGAATGTGACAGAAACCCGACTGCAGTAAGAGAGGCCTTACCTTACCCTGCTTTTAACCCGGACAGAAGCAAAAACACAGTTCCCCACACCCCCACCTCTGGTCCCCAGCCGAGTTTACTTTTGAACCTCGTCCCTGAAGCCCTGGTTCAGGACTATTTTCCTTCCCTTATCTCTATGTGTTTCCTAACAATTTTGAAACACCTCTGCTGCTTAACAGTAATAAAAAGTGTCAAAAGAAGCACACACATGACTACGATTAGAATGCCCTCTTTACAGCCTTTATCAAGAAAGCATTAATAACAGTTGTTGCCGCTGCTCAGAGGACACCTCTGTAAACATTTTTCCTTTATTTTTTCTCATTTCTTTAAACTCGGCCTGAATCTCTGCACTTCGTTATGCCTTTAAAAAAGAAAAAAGAAACCTGCCTCAACCACCAGATCATGTTCATTTGCTCCATTCAGATATTTGCCCCTGAATTGAAGACTTCTGTAAAGGCTCTAGGGAAAAAGCAACAAACAATTCTTAAAATCTCTGTATGAGAAGACCGGCCAGGAGAAGGAAGAGTATCTTCATATAAGAGATCCTTAGTGGATAAGAGGAACTTTAACTAAAGTTTTATGAGACGCTGCTCAGAATTTAATTTACTAAATTTCAAGTTGAATGTGCAAATGTATGGATAAAGGGAATTTTTAAAAAGCATTTTGCAAGGCTAGCAAATACAATGTGTTACAGTGGAACCCAGGGTTTAGAATCAGACAAGCCAGATTCCTTTCCAGACTCCATACTTACTCATTCTGTGCCCTAGGACACTCAATGCAATTACAACTGCCAGAAGGAATTATATAATGGAACTCGCAGAGTCACGGTCACATTTACAGGAGCTGGAATAGTGTCAGGCAGAAAAGGTACTCAATAAATATTTGGTTCTTACATCTCACTCTGCTTGACTGTAATTAGAAGAAGATGGCTCTGGAAATTTTCCCCAAAGACCTTTTTAACTGAATCAATTTTCTTCTCCCTGATGCTTTTTCCATTTAAAAAGATACAGCATCACAATTTTTGAAATAGGAACTAAGTTTAGGGATCATCTAACTCTAGCCAAACTCCCTTATTTTGAATACAAGGCAACTGAAGTCCAAGAATCTTAACTGACTTTCCCCAAACCTCACTGGTTAGGAATTGCTAAAGTTAGGGCCAGAAATCAGGCCTCTTCACACTTGGCAGAATCCTCTTTTAACTATATTTTCCTCTTTATCACAAGTCAAGTACACAGTAAAATAATTACATTGAAAACATTAATCTGACGACCATACTAGTTGCTTTTTTTGTGCATGACCTTTGATAATGGAGAAAATGAAATGGAATAAGCATTGCCAAAAGAGTCACTTAGAGTGGAGAGGGTATTAAGGAAGTAAGGTTTACATACATGTTGTGCCTCAGTTGTCAGAGCTACTAAGTTGTTAAACCTGTTAATAAACTCAGCTCAAGGATGAGGCATAAACATTCAGGAACAACAACGTCTAAATGGGCGTATATGGACTTAACTTCCTTCCCTGTAGTTTCTGTCCTTTGCATATTGGAACCAACCAATCCTCGTTAACTTAGCCAGCAATCCTTCATTTGCATTTGAAAGAATTACATTTTGTGGTTTTTGCTTTTAGAAACCCTGCTTTTCTTTGTCCTCCCCAGAACACAGTTTGGGCTGCTACCTTAATCTGCATGCCTTTTGTTCTTCATTATAGCCTGAACCTTGTATTTGGTGAACACCTTTAAACAATTAATTTATAAACAACTGCTAAGAAATAAATGATGCCACTTTAGGTGATCCCTTGGTATCAACATAATTATAAAAATAAATCAAATGGTAGCCCAATATTCAGGAATAAGGAATAATTACATTACATAATTACATATATGTGTTTTTTAACACAATTCTTAAAAATTCTGATAGAAATCTCTAGACTCCCAAGAATACATCAATAAACCACTAGTATATCTATAGATTCTACTTTGAGAAACACTAGATTAGTTTTCAATATGCTACTACAGCTCCACTTGGACAACTTCAGAGCATGAGAATAAATTAGACTGCAAAGAGTATGAACAAATGGAAAATTTTGTAACATAATGTACTTATTTCTTATTCATTTGCCTCTGATATCTTTAAACAGAAGTTTTTCTAAACTCTTTCTCACCTTACTCAATACTGAAAATCATTTGGACTTTTATATAACTCCCAGGTTCTCAGAGATAAGACCCTACATCCTCCTTCTAAGTAAGTGTTCTCTATCACTCCAGCTTCCCCCTGAATTAGCCACTAAAATAATTTCTTGAAGGTATTTCATAACCTTTTCTTTAAGTTCTATGCTTCCTTTCCATAAGACTTGGAAGTTTCCAAAAATAGAAAAAATTATAGCTATAAAGTATGTCCACCATGGATGGATAAATGGGGATGCATGAATCCCCATAACCATCTTTTCCCAATCATTGCATACATTGCTAAAGATTAATCGTTTTTATATTTTCTTCCAGTATTTACAATCTTTCAACTTGCTATTCTCTAATTTTTATCAATTGACTTTTGATATGAATTGCTCTATAAAATGACTTAAAAGTATAAAAATCTCAAGGATGTCAGAACTAAGTTTTTAAAAACACTAAAACCAAATAGAATAAGATTTAAAATCAGATTTATGGCATGCCCCAGGAACTGAAGAAGGGCGATGCCAGGGAGAAGGGTTGCAGAGGCCCTGGCAGGGCACTCCCATTAAAATATGCCTTAATCTACCGATAGCAAATGCTCAGATTTCGATTTGAAAATTCTTCACATTCATCATAGGTGCATATGGACTGAGATAGAGACTCAGCAGCCTTCCAATATTTTTTAAATTAATTTTCCGGCTCAAGCCAGTTAGAAGTTTCTCTTACTTGAACTAAAGGAATGTTGACTAAAACAGACAACCACTTGTTATTTATGTTGAGAATAACAATTTTATTGCTGATTGTTACAAAAATACACAAAAATATACTAACATGCTTGTTGTTTAGCTCTCTATTACTGCAAACCCATCACTTAAAGTATTTGACAATATTTTTTAAAAAGGAAATAACAACCAAGACAGAATTCAAAATCACAGTTGTGTGAATTAAAAAGTGGCATATTTCCTTTTCTCATGTGCAACAATGGCCAAATAACCCTTGAGTTCCTAAGTGGATATGGGTTCTAATGTTAATAAGTGCTACATTCATTTCGATCTTCCATCATTTTATCTCTCATTCTATTTTGGTCCTTCTGATTAAGAACGCGAAACATACTCAGCGCCCCCCCCCAAAAAAAAATGAAGAGGAGGAAAACAAAAATAAATAAATATCGCTTGTGTTTCCACTACCAAAAATACCATTGCTAACATTTGCTCTATACCCTCCAAGTATTGTTGAGGTCTCTGAGAGACTCTCTAATAAATAACATCCCTTGTTTATGCCTAGGTTGGAAATAAATTGAGAAATAACACAAAATTAAAAATAGAAGCTAAAATATTATTTGTATTATTGACAGAGACCTGGTTTGAATTGGTAGATCTAAAGATGAACAACCAAAATAGCAGCCTCGGTCACATGCCTCCCTACCTAGGAGGAGACAGTGTCTTTGGAAAAGGAGTTAAATTGTGTTTTCTGA